CCGACGTCAAAATTGTCTCTGGCGACGTCCACTTCCACGACAAGATTGAAGGCGATGTCCGTGTCTCGACCGGCGCCGGCAACATTGATGCCCACAAGGTCCGTGGCATGAAGCTCCACTTGTCCACGAACGACGGCGTTATCCGCGTGCACAACCTTTTGGAAGGCGACGCGATCTCGCTCTCGGCCAAGCAGATTGAGTGCAAGAAGATCATGGCCAAGTTTGCCGACGTCAAAATCACCAAGTCGCCCGTCGCGCTCGACTCGTCGTTTGGCGCCATGTACGTGGCGCAGGCCGTCGTTGGCAGCGTAGCAACGGGTGCATTGCGTGTTGGAAACATCCATGGCGCCCTCGACATCAAGAGCCAAGGTTGACTCGACGCTTTGCAGCGCGATGGCTTATAAGGACATGCTATAGACGCGACGCTTATCCAAGTGGGAAGCGTGAACGGGTCGCTGGCGATCGAAGACGTTGGCGACAACTGCGATATTGATGTGCACTACGACAGCCTCCACCAAGTCGCCGAAGGCGAGCACGCCAGCAACCTCTCGTGCGGCGGCCAGATCCAGCTTTCGGTTGAGCCCAGTGTCGTGGCGCAGCTCGAGCTGCACGCAGAAGAAATCGCGACCGACGGCTGCGCATTTACCGAGTTTGAGCTCGACCAACTCGAAGACGACTATGCAATTGCCACCGGAACGCTGGCGGCGCAGGCGGCGCCAGCGTCAACGTCGGCTTCGTCCGGCAAGATCAACCTCTCGGGTGCAAAAGACTCGGCCATGACAACGTCCTTCTTCTCGACGTCGTCCGATGCTGACGACAACGAAGACGCGGGTGAAAGCCGTAGCCACGAGATCCCGACCATCTTTGCGCACGCGTGCAGCGGCAAGGTAGGACCTCGTACTTCGAAATCCAGATTCCGCATACATGCGTGGCTCTAGATTTCGGTGACGCAACTCAACTGGATGGAGAAGATCCGCCGAAAGCACCAAACGCGGTCGGCCTAACTTCTTACACGCTGTCGGACAGCTCAAATTGCCGCTGCTTCCGGGCCCCTCACAACTAGAGTCATCTAACTCTAAGCTGAACGATCCGATACTTTGAATGCGAGATGCGTTGCCTCGGTGGTCAAAAAGAAGTTTTCTTATTGGCCCTTCGTTGTCCTGCATATGCAATGCCGTGAAACTCATATCTGTTTCGGGACAAAGGCCTTGAACGCCGGCCCCCTCGCCGCATTCCTTGTAGTGCGCTCGCCGATCGCCATTGTATATCTCACGTGTAAAATCACCTCTAAATCACATCATTTATATGGCTTTTGACTATCTGAGTGGGTGCAAATAAAATAGCACAGGTGTAAAATGTGACACTTGCACGGTGTTGAGAGGTGGTTCCATTGGAAATAGACTTGGCGTTTGTATGCAGATTGGGTAGAAACAAACGGTCACACCGCCTTTCCAGCGCACCACGGATGTCCCTCATTTTGCCTTTGCCATGGACCTGCGCGAGACGACCGCTGGCACGGTCGGCGCCATCTGCAACGTCTACGCGGGCCTGCCCTTCGATGTTGCCAAGATCCGCCTCCAGACACAGGGCCCGACGCCGCTCTACAACGGTCTTGTCGACGTCGTGACCAAGACGGCCCGAGCCGAAGGCGTGCGGGCGCTCTGGAAGGGCGCCATCCCGGCCATGTCGAGCGCGATAGCCGAGAACAGCGTGCTCTTCACAGCCCATGGCGCGCTTCACCGATGCTTCTTTGGCAACCAAGAGAACCTCTCGACGTCCCAGGAGGCGCTCCTCGGCGGCGGCGCGGGCCTCTTTGCGGCCATGGCCATCACGCCCACAGAGGTCATCAAGTGCCAGCTTCAAACACACCACGGCCCCACGTCGCTGGGCGTCGTGCGCTGCATCCAACAAGTGTACCAGCAGTACGGCGTCCTTGGCTTCACTGCTGGGCTCCCGGCCGTCGTCTTGCGGGACGTACCGTTTGCATTCTTCTTCTTTGGCGCCTACCAAGGCTACACAGCCCAGCTCATGAAGTGGCAGCAAGTCGACTCGCGCCATGACCTGCACCCGCTCGCTGTCATGCTCGCGGGCGGCGCCGCCGGCTCGACAGGCTGGAGCTTTGTGTTTCCGGCCGATGTGATCAAGTCGCACATGCAAATTGGCCACATTTCGTTTCGCGAGGCAGCGACGACCATCTGGAAGCAACATGGCCCGAGAGGGTTTTACCGCGGCTGGAACGCGGCGGTCTTGCGCTCGTTTCCTGCGGACGGGTCGCTATTTCTCGGCGTCGAAATGACGCACCGCTTGTTTACGCTCCTCGAGCCAACGTCCGTGACGCCGTCCATTGCACCGGTTCTGTAGTTTGCACGGATATAGCCCTCATGCTGCTTTGCGTGATTAGGTTTCGCTGGCTCGCGACCACGGCAAGGCAGTTCGAAGAACGACAAGCCGCGCAGCATAGCTGAGAATGTGCTCCGCGTGGAAGCTTTGATCTGAAACTTCATGCATGCTGGAGAAGCCGACCGTCGTAAAGATTACAAGATGAAATGTGATGGTACCAAGCAGTGGTGCATTAGAGCCACAAGCACTGGTTGACTAGACACGATGCTTGCTTCAAGTACTTGTCACGGTCCCACGACAAGCGACTGAGGGCGTCTAGAACCAGCCGCACCCGAACGGCGAGAAGAGACCGCACCCGCCACCGCGACCCCAGCCAAAACCAAAGCCACCGCCACAGATCGACCCAAAGCACTCCTTTTGGCCGCCTTCGCGAAGCTGCTGCGGTTGCTTGTGGCTCGCCTCGGTGTCCACTTTCGCTGCGATGCCCATGGCTGGCGTGTCGACGGCAACCACAGTGGCACTGCTGCTGGCAATGAGCGCGGCAAAGATGACGAAGGAGTTGACCATGGTGAAGGTGTGGGGAAAATAAGAACTGATAGCTGTCGAAATACGACCAAGCTGGTGGAGGAAACGTGGTCAAAACCTGTCATGGCATTCACCACGATCTTTCCGTGACGTGATGGGATCGATGACTGACAGAATTAAAGATTTGTTGTTCTAGGGTTGTACGCGGCACAACGCGATTTGGTTGTCCAGCTTGGAATTGCACTGTGTGGACGCTGAGCTTTAGTACCAGCGACCACGGTAGATTATTGCAAATGGCGTTGTATGACAGGCCAAATGGAATCGAACGCGCCCATTTTTGTACAAGACGGGTGCAAGAACGCAAAACTGTGTCATGTTGTAGCATAGCATTACAAAGAAATCACGAGAGCAGCTCAAAAATGCGGTCGGCCGGCCGGGCGACGACCGCCTTGTCATCGACGATGAAAATCGGACGCTCGATCAGAATCGGGTGCGCAATCATCGCGTCCAAGAGGCGAAGGCGGTCGGCGACCGGGTCGAGCTTGTCAAGACCCAAGTCGGTGAATTCGGACTCGATCTTGCGCATCATGACGAGCGGGCTTGGGCTCTTCTCGCCCGGCACAATCTTGGCCAGGATGTCCTCGAGCATCTCGCGCGTCCACGAAACGTGGAGGTACTCGAACACTTGGTAGTCGAGCTTGGACTCGTCCGGACGCTCCTCGTTGTACTTGAGCAGCATCGCCTTGGCCGTGCAGCACTTGTTGCAGAGCGGGTTCTGGTACAGGGTCGCCGGCATGATGTGTTTACTGGAGCTGAAAATGTAAAATGGTCAGCGCAGTGCCCACTCCCACTCGGTCCAAATGTATGACTCACAGTCGTTTGTTGAAGGACGCATGATGGGGCCTGGAACATATGTGTGCGCCACTGGCTTCAAGGGCATCGGCGCATGGGGTTATCGCCTTCAACATTTAATTCGAACTCATACAAGTTCTGAATCAAACCGTCGAAAGATTGAATAAAAATGGAGATTCCCGTCGCCGGAAAGATCGTCTTGCGCACAGTATGTGCATACAAACAACTATAGAATCAACTGTTTCCGCCCATCATTACGCGACCGCATGGCACCGTGCTACGGTGTAGGCGGATCGGCATGCGTTGTGAAGGCGACGTCGGCGATGGTTCTCGAGCCTCAACACAGCGCCACCAGTTCTTATAGTAGGCTACACTACGCTCGTGGTGACGTATATTCGAAGAAAAGCGCGTCTCTGGAGGCAGATTCGGTCGAAACCTTCGACGAGCTCGCATGAACAGTGTGACGTGGTCAGCAGGCGAAGGATCTGCTAACTTGTTCTCTGTATTTACATACTAAAACCAAGTCAAACTTCCGACGACGGCCGGCCGAATTTTTATTCCGAGCGTCCCAAGGCATGACGCTTTTTAAAAACAGATACCAAATAAGCATACAAACAACAAACTTAAGGATATCAAAACCAAAATAGTATAATTAAAACGACGCCGAACCTTCGTCGAATGACTGGCTCCGTTGCCAGAAAATCGGCGCCAATCTCGCGCCAACTTTGCACTACAAAGACCATGTCATTTCCAAACTTGCCGACTCGTCGTCATGAGCATTCCGGCGCAACCGCTGACGCCCACGAAACAGAGCGACGTGCAGACGTCGTACAACCTCGCGACCGACGCGTCGAGCAGCGAGCCGAGCGTCGATGTCTCCAAGATGAGCCTCTTCGAGCGGTACCTCACGCTCTGGGTCTTCCTCGCCATGGTCATCGGTGTCCTCATCGGCTACTACGTGCCGTCGATCCCCGAAGGTCTCGACAAGGCCACGATCAGCGATGTCTCGGTGCCGATCGCCGTCCTCCTCTGGGGCATCATCCTTCCAATGATGATCAAGATTGAGTTCGCCAGCATCGTCGACTGTCTCAAGCAGCCCAAGGCAATCCTCCTCACGTGCATTGTCAACTACGCCATCCAGCCGTTCACGATGTACGGCATCGCGATCCTCTTCTTCCGGACGTTCTTTGGCGGCTACCTCGGCGACAAGGCGGACGGCTACGTCGTCGGCTCGATCCTCCTTGGCGGTGCACCGTGTACCGCCATGGTGTTTGTGTGGTCGATTTTGATGAAGGGCAATGCAGCGTACACGCTGACGCAAGTCGCAGTCAACGACCTCCTCCTCATGGTGTTGTACGTCCCGACGACCAAGCTGCTCGCGGATGGCACGTCGCTCGAGATGCCGTGGTCGACGCTCTTCGTGTCTGTCGCTCTTTTCGTCGTCATTCCGCTCGTCGTCGGCTACGGCATCCGGAAAGCATTCGGGCACTCGGATGCTGGCCTCGACTGGCTCAACTCGAAGCTCCTCCCTGTGTTGGACTCGCTTTCGATGGTGTTCTTGGTGCTCATGATCGTGCTCATTTTCATCTCGCAAGCCGCCACTATCACGGACAACGTCGTCGACATCCTCATTATTGCGATGCCGTTGATCCTCCAGACGATCCTCATCTGGGGCATCACATACACCGGTGCGCTCTACCTCGGCCTTTCGTACGACATTGCGGGCCCCGCGACCTTGATCGCGTGCTCGAACTTTTTTGAAATGGCTGTCGCCGTCGCCGTGTCGCTCTACGGGTCGGGGTCCCCCGCTGCACTGGCGACCGTGGTTGGCGTGCTCATCGAAGTCCCCCTCATGCTCATCCTCGTCGCAATCAACAACAAGACGCAACACAAGTTCGCCTCGGCGTCCACGCCGCTCCTCCCCGAACCCTAGTCGTTGGCCTAGAGTGATTATAAAGTAATATGTCCTACACGTGACCGAAGTCTTATTTACTGTTAATATCAGCTCGACAAAGTCCTTGGGTCATAGGAGGCAGCCCACGGCGTGTAGCTAGCGCATTTGTATGTGCACTCATTTCAACAAGACATGCTGCCCACCGTCGACACCACATCTAACGGTAGGCCAGCCGCTTCCCGCGCAAGCTCTAAGAAGCGCTTGCAATGGATCTTCTTTGCGTCAACTTCTCGGGCCTACCGGGTTCCGACGACGATGCAAGCTAGGGCTGTCGGTGTCCCACCCGGCAATATTTTCTGACCGACAAAGGCCCATGGCTACGGCGATCTTGTACGACTACCTGCCGCTGACTCGTTGATGCGCTAGAGCTGGAACTCCACGGTACGCTGTTGAGCATCGCGCCGGCCATGGCGTAATCTGGTTGGGCACGAGAGACTAGTTTTGTGCGTCCTGACTGAGCCGCTTGTACATTGCACTCGGTCATGCGAGAACAGCTGTACGATACGCCAGATTGGCGCCTCTGGCAAAAAGTCCTTTTACACACAACGTTTTGATCCCCTTTCGTTCTCAATTTTCGTCGTTTGAGTCGAGTTCCTGACGGAGAAATGTTGCACGACACGACTTCCCGTTGCATCAGGATTCCACGACTTCCGCATGGGCGATATGGGCGCTGATCGCCTGAAAAGCCTTTTTGATGTGCTTCGCATTGGACAAAAGGTGGTTGGCGCCCTTGATCTCCAGCCACTGCTTGGGCTCACGGGCTGTTGCAAAGAGAGCGGCGCCGTGCTCCAGCGGAACGTTCTTGTCGCTGGTGCCGTGGACGATGAGAAGCGGCACCGTACCGCGTATGACGTGCCCAGCGATGTCCAGCTGCTCCATGTCATCAACGTAGCTTCGCGCGAGGGGTCGCCAGACCTTGCCAGTCGCATCAAACGACGTAGTATCCGCGCGGCAGTCGTTCGCCAACGGCCATTGCGCCGGCCAGTAGAACGCCGTCTCGCACTGCCCGTCGACGCGCATGGCCGTCAATTGGTCATGCGAAAAGTCAAGCTTTGAGCCTGCACAGGCGTCGACGATACCTGCCACCACCGAGATGGACCGTAGTTGCGGATGATCCAAGTCGCGGAGACAAGCCGCGAGAATGGCACCGGTCGAGAGCCCAACGACATGCACGTGGGCCTTTTGAAGCTCGGTCGCGCAGTAGGCAACAATCCCGCGCGCGTCTTCAAGCTCGCGACTGAGTGTCTTGCTGTGATAGCTTGCATCGCCGTCGGAGCCCGGAAGCCCTGAGAAGTTGACGCAAAGAAGATCCATCGCGAGCGCTTCCTCGAGCTTGCGCGGGAAGCGGCTGGCGTACGCAGGTGGAGCGTCCTCATTCGGGTGCACCGAGAGGTCCGGGAAGCCGTGGAAGTAGACGACGATGCTCTTCGTTGGCTCCTCGACCGTCGAGAGCAGACCCAGCAGCGTGCGCGCTTGCCCGATCGGGACGCGGACGTGTGCCAATGTGCGCATCGAAAATGAGAGGTACTAGAAAATGCAATATCATTTTATGAAGGTTCTTGATGTTGCCCTTTCCGATACGAAAGGTCGCTTGGAGCAGTCGAGCGGTTCGGCCCTGTTCGATCGCGGCCGCAATGCCTTGTGATACCGCGCAGCTCTACCGGTCCATTGCCTCGTAATGTGCCGGGCGCGAAATGTGCCACATGGCCCTTGGCGCCAACTGATTCTGCCAGAGAGTGCCACCGTTTTCGTCAGTTTGAAATTTGCCCGACCATGGTCACCACGCACAACATGCGAGCCCACTGGGACTTTGGCAACCTCGACGCAACCGAAGCCGTCTTTAAGCAGCTCATTGCGGCATCCGCGTCGCCCATCGAAACCATGCTGTTCGAGACCCAAGTTGCCCGCGTGCACGGTCTCCGCGGCCACTTCGACGCTGCCCACGCTCTCCTCGATGCAATCGAAACCGAGCTCGGGAAGATCATTGGCCCAACGAACGACCTGGCCGAGCTTCAGACGCGCTACTTTTTGGAGCGTGGCCGTGCTCTGCGCTCCGCCAAGCAGACGGACGCAGCATGTCCGCTCTTCAAGCAAGCAGTTGACGTCGCAGTGGCTTCCCACATGGACGAGCTCGCGATCGATGCGATTCACATGGTGGCGCTCGTCGTGTCACCGAGCTAGGCGATTGCGTGGACAGAGCGTGGCATCGCTTTGGCCCAGCGCTCGGATGACGCCAATGCGCAGAACTGGGATGCACCCCTCGCCAACAACCTCGGGTGGACCTATTTCGATGCGCGTGATTACGCAAAGGCCCTCGCAACCTTTGAAACGGCGCTTGTCGCGCGCCAGCGCATCGGGGCACCCGAGCAAATTCTTATTGCCAAGTGGGCCATTGCGCGCGTGTATCGCGCGCTGGAGCGCTACGACGACGCCATTGAGCTCTTGATGTCCCTCTCGCCTCAAGATGGATACACGCACGAAGAGCTCGGCGAAAACCTCCTCGCGCAGCACAAGCCCGAGATTGCCAAGACGCATTTTGCCCAGGCTTACGAGGCGCTGCAACACGACCCGTCCGTTGACGCCCCGCGTGTCGCCCGCCTCCTCGCCCACTCCAAGTAGTTGACCGCTACGCAAGACACCTTGGTGTAATAGTTCGTGCCGTGTAATTTCCGAAAGTCCACCGCCGCCCCAAGAAGGCTCCACTGACAGTTGGCGTTCTGCCGCCCGCTTCGTATACTAGACTCGACACCTCCGCACTTCCAGGGCTTAGGCTATTCCATAGTACGTTTGTCATTCTCCCCGAATGCTACCGAATTGTGGTTTTGTAGACTTTTCAGAAATTTGACAGCAAATTGTTTGGTTCATGTTGCATCGAATTTGCTATCTCGACATTGGTTCCAGCAGCTCCAGCAGAAGTTAGAGCTTGGCGTTGGCGGGAGGGACCCACTGCAAGACGTCGAGCGCGCAGCCCCGGTGCAATGTATGGCCGCTGCCGCCGTGCCCGTAGTTGTGGATCACGAGCGCCCCGTGGCGATTGCGACGGGGCGCAGCGACGAGAACGACACCGCTGGCGGTCTGCGGACGCAAGCCCGCCTTGGTCCCGAGCACCTTGGAGCCGGCCACGAGCGGGCAGATGCGCTCGCAGCGCGCACGAATGGAAGCAATGTCGCTTTCGTCGCAGCTCGTCGAGTAGTTGTGCGCTTGCACCGTACCACCCAAGACGACTTCGCCACCCGGGCGCGGCAAGATGTACGTGTACACGTGGTTGACTTCGTGCATCTGGAACTCCTTGATCGCGGGGTTGAAGATCTAGATGTACACGTTTAACCAACGATCAAGGCAGATCGTTTGGCGTTTACCTTAATGGTTTGGCCGCGGACGGGAAAGGCGCTGGCGTCCGGCACAAGCTGCTTGGCCCCCATACCTTGAACACACTATATATGTCGTGCTGGCATCGAGAGGTCTGTCGTACCCGTGCAGTTGACGATGACGTCGCACTGGAGCTCGTCCAAGCTTGCAACGCGGCGCGTCTCGAAGCGCCCGCCGAGAAGCGCGATCTGGTTGCGCATCCACGGCAGCAGCTTTCTACACCATTAGATAAGAAAATCAGCAGACCAACGAAGTACGCGCACCCAGGATGCACGAGAAGCGTCGAGTATGCAAATCCGTATGGCGCGCCGTTCGCGCTGGCTTCGGCCGGCGAGAGAAATCGAAAGTCGTCGACAGAGTGCGCCCAGTACGGATGACTCGCCTACGCGAGTGGTTAGCGGCGACGGCGATCTCTGACGCGGCGACGACACACCGTGGGCGTATCATGGTACTCGCGGCCCGTCACGCGATGGATGCCGACGACGTCAGTCCCATGTTCGCGCAATAGCTTGGCGAGCCACTGCATCGTGGCATGGCCCCAGCGACTAGAGAGAAGATGACGCAGCTCCCGCCATCGGCTGTACGTACTCGATTGCCGCTGTCGACGAGTTCTCCGAGAGTGCAAACGGGCGCCAGATTGCACCGGCGACATGCGACGTCGTGTCCTCGAAGCTCTCGGCGACGATCGTCACGCGCTTGTGCCCGGCCTCGAGCAGCGCCAAGGCCGTCGCGAGGCCGACGACCCCGCCCCCAACGACGATGATGTTCATCTTTGGACCAAAAGCGAAATTGAGTGGCGTGCGTTCCGGTTACGTGGCCATATCTTTATCCGGCGCACCCACATCATGCCCACAAGAATTCGATCCGCGCGCGTGCTGATTGGCTGAAATTATAGATCGCAAGCGTTGCATTCGCAACCGCCGGCGTCACGGACGAAGTTGCTCGCAGTGTTGATGCAGCAAGCACAGGCCTCTCTCGGCTTGTCGACGTCGACGGTCGCTGCTGCATCAACACGACAGAGCGTAGTACCGCAGCAATATAACGTCGCGGGCTCGGACGTTCGAAACACAACAACCCTGGACCTGGAAGTGTTTTAAACCACTAAAAAACACGTGGACCATCGGCGCTGCGTGTCATCATCATTCATTGCTACGTCGTCACGGAAATCGACCGCGTCGATCGCAGCAGGGCGAAGTCGAAGATATTAGCTTCTCGTGCTGGCTTCCGCGCAGAAAACGTTGCCGCTGGGCGGAGAGTTCGAGGCGCCAATGATGGCGTCGAACACTCCCATCGGTCCAAGGATGGTGGACGATCGTGAGTAGCAAGAAATCGGATCTTCTATGGCGTCCCTTGTCGACACGGAATACTGACCTCAGCCATATCTCACGTACCGTAGGTTGAGGTTGAAGTCCGAACATCCTCCTCCCGTCACGATTCTAACGCCGCCTTCCTTATGAATCACCGTCGAGAGCTGTCGAGGCATCGCACGCAACAACCCACATTGCAGCGTGCCACGCTACGACCATCCATCCGTCAAGTTGTCCGACCTCCATGCGTCGTCGTGCTCCCCATCAAGACAGGTATGCTGTTTAAAACACGTTTCGAACGGTGTGGCTACCACCGGCCACAGTGGGACGTCCGCACTTGAAGAAACGCGAGTCCATTTTTGCATTTTTGCATTTCGGCCGCAGATCTAAAATGGACGACGACCACAACTTTTACGACGCGACCGAGCACGATGTTGTCGCGATGACCGACCCGTCCCGCGCGCACCAGGTGCTGCAGATGCCCGAGCTCTTCCGCGCGATCGTGCAGTTCCAGCGCGGTATCGTGATGCCGTTTGCGCCCATTTGCCGTGCGTGGGCCGCGCGCGTGCCGTACCTTCAAGGCCGCTTCCTCGTCCACGCGTTCAACCTCGACGATGTCTACGAAGCGTCGCTCTTCCAGCAGCTCTTTGTGATGCGGCCACACATGTTTAGTGCCGGCGTCATGGACCTCTTGTGCCGGTACGGCGACCTCGACATGGTCCACTTTCTGCATCTCCACGGCGCTCCGTGCTCCAAGGACGCAATGGATTGGGCCGCGAGCGCCGGGCATCTGCACGTCGTGCAGTATTTGCACCAACACCGCCGCGAAGGTGCGACGACCGACGCCTTGGACAATGCTGCCAAGCACGGGCACTTGGCGGTCGTCGAGTTTCTCGACCGACACCGACACGAAGGCGCGACCACCAAGGCAATGGACGAAGCGGCGGTCCACGGACACCTCGAGGTCGTGCGGTACCTCCACTTTAACCGGCGCGAGGGCTGCACCAAGTACGGCATGGACCGCGCAGCGCTCGAAGGCCACTTGCGCATCCTCGAGTTTCTGCACAGTCATCGCTACGAGGGCTGCACCGTGAACGCGATCAACTGGGCGGCGCAGCACGGGCACCTCGAGATCGTCCGGTTTCTCCATACGCACCGGAAGGAAGGCTACACGGCGAACGCGCTCAAGTGGGCAGCCCAAAACAACCACTTTGACGTGGTGCACTTTTTGCTCTCGCGCAAGGAGACGATCCAGCGCCACATGACGTCGGCGCGCCACGCCAAGGGCGGTGACCCGCTGCGGCAGATTCGGCGGCTCAAGCAAGCCGCGTGCCAATGCAGCGTGAGCTAGTGTGTGTCGTCGCAAGGACCTCCGCGTTCTTGGTCGCAGTAGTAAGTTAAAAAAAGTTAAGCCTTGCCTCGTTCGACTTGGTTGAAGACGACGATCGATCGAACGGCCACCACACTTCAACCTTGAAGTTGCTGCTGGCACATAATCTCCGATGGGAGGCTTCAACGAATACGAGGTGTTCAGCTGCCTTTGACGACAAGATCGTTCAGTCCGGATAATAATACCGTCCGGAAAAAGATATACGCCGGATCCTGGCGATCTTGTACTTGTTCGCCTGTCGCGCGGTGCACGGTATTTGAGTAATATCTGCTTTCCCGCTCGAGGACCTGATTTGATGTCGTTGGCTCTACTAAGATGTAGCCTGGCTCTACCTATGGCAACCTCTCGTAGAAAGCATCCCGACGTCTCTGAGAAGAAATGCCACCGGCTTGGGCCGCCGTGGTCTGCTACCGGTACATGCATCGTCCTCAACGAGACGTGCGTTATGGCCGCGGTTGATTCGCACCGAGTGTGTTATTGTCCCACGGAGCTAGCCCGCCATGACTCGCCCTCGTCGACCAAGCTCAAGGAATCTCATGATCACGTCGCTGTCGAATCTCTATTGACGAGCTAAAGTTGTGGCTTTGTCCTTCGTTCAGTCTAACGTTTAGTCGAAATGGACCGACTATAGTCGGTCTCGGAAAAATGATTGGGAAAACCTCTGCAAATGCATATTTAGAGTTGGGTGATCGAAGTTCGCAGTAGAAAGTCTCGAGGATCTTTATCGGCGGCAAGACGACGATGGACTCGATCGGGCAAGCCCGCGCGCTGGGCCGCGTGGAAGGCCGCGCGGAAGCGCTGGACGAGATCGCGGACCTCCATGGGCAGATTGCAGTGCTCACGAAGCAAGTCGAACAGCTCATGCTCGATCAAGAGAAGACGACGAAGGAGCTCATGTCCACCGTGTACAAGGACCTCAAGCAAGAGTTTCGGCGCCAAACGACATCAACGCTGACGCCCAAGGAAGCCATGGACATCATCAAGCCGTGTCTACGCCGCGTCGCCGAGGTGCAGGTGCCACAGTCGCAAACGCTCTTCCGCAACGTTTCCTTCATGGCCCAGGACCTCCCGACGACGACTGCGGCGTCGCATCCGCTGAGCCCGCCCACGCCACCCGTGATCCCCGTAACGCCACCCACTCGCCCGCCTGTCACCGAGCCACCGGTTGTCGCCCAGCCGCTGCCGGTTGCTGACGAGCCGGTGGTCGTCAACCACATTTGCGTCGCGGCTACCGAGAAGGTCGGCGTTGGCCGCGCCGCCCACATGGTCTACGTCATTCAAGTGCGCACCGGCGACACCGTACGGCGTCCACTTTTGTTATTCTGTGTGAGTTCTACGACGACGTGACATAGGGTCTCGTGCTCTCGCAGGTCAAGCGACGCTACAAGGACTTTGTCTGGTTATGGGAACGCCTCTCGAGCGCTTACGTGTTTGCTTGCATCCCGACGCTGCCGCCCAAGGTACAACTATCTCTGCACCGCCACCATCCAAACGATCGAGTAGAATGGGCTCCGCGACAACTCCAAATTCAACCCGCGCTTTGTCGAGAAGCGCAAGCGCGCGCTGCAGCTCTGGATGAACCACCTTGCGTGGCACTATGCAATGGGCTTTTCGACCGAGATGCAGACGTTTCTAGACGGCTCGGACCTTGTTCACGTGCCACGCACGCCGCCGCTTCTGCTGCCGCGGCGTCGCCGCACATCGTCGAACGAAGGCTGTGGCGCGCGCAAGCTGGACGACCAGTCGATCAAACGCATCCAGGAAAAGCTGCCGGTACTGCAGCGCCACTTGGTAAAAGCGAGCAAGCGCCTGGATGGGCTCATCAAAGCCCATGCCGACATGAGCATCAATGTTGCTGGCTTTGGCAATGCGGCCGCCCACGCGAGCAACTTTGAGCGCCTGCACGGAAGCGCGACAGCGTGGGATGGCTTTGCAGCGCACGCTCTCTTGCCCTTGCAGCAAATGCATGACGACACGTGCGAGGTCCATCATCATCATCCTGTTGATGGCTGTTTACGACAACGATGATTAGATGCTGGACGTCTCGCTCCAAGAAACACTGCATTTCCAGCACGCTCAAGTAAAGCTCCTCCTCCTTGCATTCGCATCATGCGCTGCAACGTGGCGTAGGTCATGCCTCGGTTCGAGAAGCAAGTGCACGACCTGACGCGCGACATGGGACCGAGCACGGCCGAGAAGCTGTCGCTCGAGTGGGACGAGGTGCAGACGATCCAAGCCCGCGCGATGCTTGAGAGCCTTCTGCACGTCGCGACGCACATGCAGCAGTCCCACCACGACGTTGTCACCGTGTGGGAGTCGGCGCGAACCGCTGTGCTAACGGTGGCGACACCGCCGCCCTTTGCACCGCCACCAACGCCATGTTCCATGCCGTCGCCATTGGCAGCGCATTCGCAGCACGTGCCGGAGTTTGCCCACCCGACGCTGGAGCGCCCGTTAAAGCCCAACACGTTCGAGTTTGTCAACCACCTTGCGGACCCGGATGCGAAAGACGCGCGGACGCTCTTTGGCGGGCCACAAGCCAACCCGAACGCCGTCTTCACCGTGTACCAGAGCTCCGACGAAGACGAAGACGACGAGGACGAAGCGCCAGCCTTCTCGGCGTCGTGGGACCTCTACATTGATCGCTTGCGACGAAAGCAGAAGAAGCAGGCCAAGGCCGAAGCCGCTGCCGTCGAAGAAACCAAGCGCAAAGAGAAAGAGGCCGAAGCTGCGGTTGCCGAGGTACGTACATTCGAACAAAGCGCCGTTGATGATAAGGCGACTCTGCCTAGTCGCGCAAGAACCGCAAGCGACCACAGAGCATGCAGTGGCCGCTCAAGCGCATGGCACGGTCGCAGCCCAAGGTCGTCGTGCACGACGACTTGAGCGCGATGCCCAAGAGCATGAGCACCTCGTCCCTTGGTACGTCATGTCCTTTTGGAAATGAAAAGAGTTCGAGCTAGTGATCATAGATCGCATGGACCCATCCCCGCCTGCCGCCGCGAGCAAGGCGCTCTTCGACCAGCCACCAGCAAATGCCGCCGACGTGCGCAGTGTCGACAACTGGATTTCTGCGACCACGGACGGTGGCCAAGTCTACTACTATCACCGCCTTACGCGCGCCACGCGCTGGACGAAGCCCGACAAGGCAGTGTTGGACGACATTGAAGATCGCTTGGCGGCGCAGGAGGAGGCGACGCAGCGCCGCGTCGAGGTGCGATCGAGGATCTTCCAAACCTGTACACTAATGGTGTTGTTTGCACCATAGGAACGCCGCCAATGGTACCAAGACAACAAACAGCAACAGGAGAAGGAGGCTGCCGAAGTCGATGCCTCCCGACACCTCGTGACGACCCGCGTCCGCGACTGGGCGCGCAACAAGGACGTGGTCATGCTGCTCCGGTCGCTCCACGAGGTCTTGCCTCGGTCCCTGCTCAAGCCGTCGAGTGCCGCGTGCCCATATCAGGTCGATGGCGCCGCGACCGTCGCGTCGGTGAAGAAGGCGTACATGAAGGCTGTCCGGACCATCCACCCTGACAAGCTGCCAAAAGGCGACTTCGACGTCAAGGACCGATTTCTGGCACAGACGCTCTTCTCAACGCTGACACTAGCCCACGATGAGTACCAGCGGACGCATGCGACGTCGTCGTGATGACACTGAATGATCGCACTCCTTGAGCTTATAAATACGGGCACAGCCTGGACTACCGGCGATGTCGGGTCATGCTGCGCACCTTGTTGGTGAAGCGCTGGTCAAACTGCCGCTGCTCGGAAGCGGACGGTCGGAGGGCCTTCTTCGTGGCTTCGATGGGTGCGAGTTTGGCCGCGACTTTTTCTTGGATTGTCGGGAGCGACTGCAACCAGAGCACGCCATCATCATCAGCATCGTATCGATCCTCCATGCGTCGAGAATCGTACATCGCGTGCTTTTCGACTTCGAAAAAGCCGACGGTCCGCGCGCTAAAGAAGGTGAAGTAGCACGGGTGGCAGACCTTGGCCGTGAGCCCGTGGTGGAAGGCCATGGCGCCGACGTCGTTCATGTACCGGCCTTCGATGAGCAGTCGCGTGCGGCAGTCGCCGCAGACAATCTCGCCGCACTAGACGCTCATGAGCCATGGTCCTCCATCGTGCATTACCATGTAGCAATGCTTCTTGGGGTCCAGGTGAAAGTACTGGAAGCAGGCATGGCACTGGTACCGCTCGTCCGCGTCGACCCAGTGCTCGCGGTGCATGAGGCGGTCCATCATGAGCAGGTTGAGGTCCTGCACGAAGCTCACGGGCCGGCAGACCATCTTCGCGTCGTCGTCCTCGTCGGATCTCAAAGTGCCATCCCGCTGAGTCTATTTTTATTTTCATTTCTGTCTTGCTATACAAATCACAAGATAGAATTGAATTTTTTGTATTGAAAACTCAACCAATCCGCCGTGGGTCGAAGCGAAGTTCGAAGTTCTTTTGCCAGAACCGCCGAGTTGTAAGTCACAGTCTGACTAGACGCGACTTCGTACATGCACTGAGCATGATGCCGGAGGTCGATGACGGGCCACCTTGTCTCTGCAGGATAGGCGACCATGAGGTCGCAAAGGTTGCGTCGAGCCATTGCTGCTGTCCGGTGCTACGTCTTGAAAATGGCAGAGCGGTTGGGTCAATGGACGCGGTCGCTTGGCCTGAAGCGTCTGTAGCCGGGCGCCGCGAACGTGGTTGCCGCAGCCGATCATTATTGTGCGGCGGCTGGTGCCAAAGCGTCTTCCGCGGAGACGAGGCGCATCTCCGTTGGCCGTCCATTCCACCATCGCCTTGAAGGATTGATACTCTTGGTTGATATTTGAAAAAACATTCTATAGTGCGTGCAGTTACAGGAGCCCGAGGACACGGAGACGGCTGTCGTACTCGGTCTTGCCGATATAGCACCCGATGAGCGCGCGCTCGCCCTCGAACGCGTGGCGGCCGTGCATGACGCGGTTGTTGTCGACGACCATCATGTCGCCTTCGTCGAGCTTGTGGACGAGCTCGAGGTGGTTAATCGCCCGCCAGAGCTCCTTGTGGTGCTTGTAGAACGCAAACGTGTCTTCAAACGAAAGGTGCGTGAGCGCTGCGCGGTCGCCGTCGTTGAGTCGGAAGCCCTGGACATTGCCGCGGTAGTCGACGTCGATGACCGTCTTCATCGTCGCCAGCGACGTATCGTCGTCGAGGCAGTAGAACGGCAGCGGCGTTTTGCTGAAGAAGGCAAAGGCCTCGGGCGCGTGCTCTCGGAGCCACTCGGCCACGTGGAAGCCGTCCACGTACCGGCTCGCGCCGTCCGTGGGGCCGCCGGCCGCCTGCTGGACGCAGTTGAAGATCTGAAGACCCGGCGGCGTGTACAGATACGTGCTATCCGTGTGCGCTTGGAGCTCCAAGTTCGTCGACGCCGTGTCGTTGTAGCTCATTTCGGCCGTCTTTGGTCGCGTCGTCCACATGGTGCCGTAGACCGTCTCGAGGACGAAGCCGATGCGCCGGGCGAAGGCCTCCGTGTCGTCCATCGAGTTGGGTGTCTTCTTGATCTACACCACTCTGTCAATATACATTTCGATAGAGTGCTATTTGGGGCGTACGAGGAGAAGACCGTGCTTCTGCAGTAGCTGCATACCAGCCCGGAACCCATCGCCCATCATCGCTTGATACGTCGATGTCGGCATCACCAAATGCTTGTCCCAAAGCACCTTGTTGTCGAGGCGCTCTTGCCGGTACTCGTGCGGATACGTCGTCTTGGGCGTCGAGTAGACGTGGTCCCGCAGCCACTGGCTCGAGAAAGCGCTGTGCGTGCAGGACGACCCGACCTAATGTCATGGCGGGCATCAGCTCACAATAGGTCATCATCATCGAAAGGCGTACAACAACGTCCTTCCAGTGAATTGTGAGCGCGTCCGGCGCGACCGCCATCGTCGCCGGCGAGCTCAGAGGAATCGTGGCCGAGTGGATTTGGCGCTGCTTGGTCGTCGGGTGCTGGCAGTGCGCGCACGTGCAATGGTCTCGCAGCCAGATCTTGTGGAACTTGGCCGAGAAGCCGTCCGTCCACGTGAGCTCGACGGCCTCCTGCGCCTCGAGCGGCGTCACCTTCGCGAGCGAAGTCAGCGCGCGCCGGCTGCGCAGCATGGACGCCAGCATTTTGCAATGTGCGGAAAAATCAAAACTGTGTTGATGCAACAGCGTTGCCAGGCAGAGACGCAACCTCTATAACTTTATATTCAAAGCGACACCGTCGCCAACTTCAAGTCGCATGAGCTCTGCAGCGCATGGTCCGTAGTTCGCCGCTCGTGCACGTTAGCTGCCTTCCCATACCTAGGCCTTGATAGCACCTCGTAGAGCTCTATGCAGTCGCTACACTGAGAGCGTTCCGCGCCGAGGCCACGACGGTCGAAGAAAAGAACGGTGTAGTTCAAAGAAAGCAAAGCGAACCGGCGTCGTCGACAGGCGCAGTATCCATGCAGCCAGCGTCATGCGGCTCGTGTCCATGTCTCGCCGACGACTTCTGCCAGCGGTACGCCTCAGATAGTAGCAGCAGGCTAGCACCGCCCGAGAAGGTCGCGCCATGAGCGACGACGGGATGCTAGCGTGCGAGACCTGGCTGCTGCACACAGCGACGAACCGATCATGGTGCACGCTCCATCGGCACACTTCAATAAGGTTGGTCCCACCTTGCGCATCGCAGAAGATATGTCGGCGGCCAAATGCATATTTTTGCTGATTTTCACGACGCAGGTGGCGAGCTACCTTCGCGAACAGACGCCGATGCGGGCCGACGCCCATCCGTACCGACCTCGTCCTCGGACCAACGTCGTCCGCCAGCTCCTTGGCCGCGAGAAGCTCGGGGTGCCACGGGTGCTTCGGCCGCTGGCGCGAAGGACGTGGGCGCTGCGCGACGTAGCGCTTCGTGAGGAGCAGGCGGTGGTCGTGGGCTTTAGCAGCGACGGGCTCTTCCTCTGTACGCTACCTTGTTCAATGTACATGTACATCAACAAGTATTTTGCGATATGTAGTGTATTACTCGTACTGGGGCCATGAGCTACGCCTCTTCTGGCGCGTCTTCGAACCGTCGGGCGAGAACGTCGTGCCCGTAGCCATCGCCGTGCGTACGAGCGTCGGGCCATGGGCGCCGCTTGCTGCGACGGCCGAGCTCCCAAACGCAGCCGCGCTGTCGCTCGACGACCGCGAGCTGCACGTGTGGCAGAGCCTCCGCGAGCAAATCGTCGTCGCGATCGCGTGCTCGCCCAATCCTCACGCGCCGTGGTTCATGACGCTCACACCAGCGCCTTTACAGGCGTCGTCGCCGTCGCTTCGGACAGTCTCGAGCCTTCGCCTGCGATTGGCAACGCCCCATGCGCCCAAGCACGCGTGGACCTTCCTCGGAGGTGGCTGCAACCAACTACTCCTGCACCTCGGCGCCACCCTCGTCGTGCTGGGGCTCGAGCTCAGCGGAGCGCAGGCGCCCACGCCGACAATGACCCCGTGGTACGCGCCCTCCGAGTACGCCCTCGACATGGTCGCTATCGCCGAGCCCACGCCGTTCCCAAATGCTCGTCGAACGCTGAGCCTTCAGGTAGTGCTTTACGTGCTTCCTACCGATCCTCACGCATCCAGGTGCGCAGGCGATCTATCAATGGACGTTCGACATCGAGACGTTCTTGCGAACATGGCTCGACAGCGTTCCCGCCCTCGCACCGCGCTCGCTTCTCGACTATGCACTCGCTCTCATCGACGAGGTTGCTATGGACCGTAGACATGTACTTCAACGTGGGCAATTAGGCGCCTGCCACGGTCGCGCCAGGAAGCTCCTACATGGCGTGCGTGCTCGACGTCGCGCGGCCACGTACTCGGCTTGCGCTCTTCATCTACTGGAACACGGTCAGCGGCGCGTCCGACGTCCTCCGTGTCCTCCAGCGGCCGCCCGCCGGCGACGTGCGCAGCAGTCTACCGTCGGTCCGCGACAGCTTTCTCATGCACCTGGCGATGCACGCGCCCGTGCCACAATCGTCATGGTGCTACTGGTCCAACGCAAGCGTCTTGCGTCAAGTGTCGCTCCACACCGTGTCCAACGCCGTCTTCCCGTTTGACATTCACCTCTGCGATGCGTCGTCCTAACGCAGGGTCGTCGTCGTCGTACTGAGATGTGTGTGTTTCGCTCGAGGCAGCGTCCATACAGATAGGATGTTCAAGTTCTTATGCGGCGACGCGTGTCACAAAGAGCGGGCCGAGCACGAGGACCGTGGTCGAGAGGAGCTTGATGACGACGTGCAGCGCGGGCCCCGCCGTGTCCTTAAACGGATCACCGACCGTGTCGCCTGTCACCGCGGCCTTGTGGGCCTCGGAGCCCTTCCCGCCATGATGACCGAGCTCCACGTACTTCTTCGCATTGTCCCACGCACCGCCGACGTTGTCGAGGAAGAGCGCCATCATGATGCCTGTGACGGTCCCAAACATGAGGTACCCCGCGAGGACCTCGGCGCCGAGAAGCGGTTTGTTCTGATACGACCCGACCTAGAGGGCCCATCTCCTCTCAGTTCTCGGTACAAGAAGAGAAGTATACGTACGATGCGGAATACGAGGCCGACGGCGACGGGCATGAGCACGGCGAGGAGGCCCGGGAGGCGCATCTGCTTGAGTGCTGCCTTGGTCACGAGCGCAACACACGTCCGGTAGTCGGGCTTTTGCTTGTACTCCATAATACCGGGGTAGAGCGCAAACTGCCGGCGGACTTCGAGCACGACCTCGCCAGCGGTCTCGCCGACGGCCGCGACCGCCAGACCCGTAAAGAAGAAGACCATCATGGTGCCGAGGAGGCCGCCGACGAGGACCTCGACGGTCGCAATGTCCACCGTCTTGAACGGCACGCCCGCAAACGCCGAGAACTCGTCCATAAAGGCACCAAAGAGCACAAAGCACGCCAGCGCCGCCGACCCAATCGAGTACCTACGTGCATGTCACACACACAATATGCATGTCATGATGACAGACCCTTTCGTGATGGCCTTGGTGACGTTGCCGGCCGCGTCGAGCTTGTCGGTCGCGTCACGCACGTAGTCGGGCTGGCCGCTCATCTCGGCAATACCGCCTGCGTTGTCTGCGATCGGACCATAGTTGTTCATGGCGAGGACAAAGACGGCCGACGAAAGCATGCCCATGGTGGCGACAGCCGTGCCAAAGAGCCCGCCGGTCCGGTTGTTGGGGCCACCGATCCCGGACGACGCGCCGAGGTGGTACGCGGCAATGACCGCGACACTGACCATCAACGTTGGAATCACGGTCGACTTCATGCCCACCGCGACGCCCGTGATGATGTTGGTGCCATGGCCCGTCGTGCTCGCTCGCGCGATGCTGCGCACGGGCTCGTACGCGTAGTCGGTGTAGTACTGCGTCGACTTGACAAAGACGAACGCGGTCACCATGCCGACGAGGCCACAGAGGAAGAAGTGGAACCACGCGCTCGGCGCGGCCTCCGTGTGCAGAAGCCAGCGCGTCGAGATCGCAAACGCCACGAGCGCCAAGCCGAGCGTGACCGAGTAGCCGCGCTGGAGCGTCGTCATCGGGTTCGTCTCGTGCGGGCCGGGCGCCGTGACGCAGAGGATGCCGATGCTGCTGACAAGAATGTCAAAGGCGTGGACGACGATGGGGAAGAAGACAAACGAAATCGCGAGCGACGAGTGCGCGTCCTTGGCCAGCGAGCCGCCGAGGATCATGGCGCCGATGATCTCGGCGGCGACGCTCTCGAAGACGTCGGCGCTGCTCCCGACGCAGTCCCCGACCATGTCCCCGACGAGATCGGCAATCACGGCCGGGTTGCGCGGGTCGTCTTCTGGAATGCCCACTTCGACCTACCATAAGATAGTACGTCCATCGTGAGAGATACAACGATGCAATCATGAGGCACAGAGAGAATGATGGACGCACCTTGCCGACGAGATCCGCGCCGACGTCGGCGGCCTTGGTGTAGATGCCACCGCCAAGCTGCATGAAGAGCGCGACGAACGACGCGCCAAAGCCATACCCGACCATGAGCATCGGAATGTCCGTGGCCGCGACCGAGGACCCAAACAGCATGTACAAGACGACGTAGAGGATGCTGACGCCGGCCACGCAGAGCGTGATGTCGAGGACGGCCGAGAACGCACCGCCGCGAAAGCAGATGAGCAGCGCCTCGCCGTACGACCGGCGCGCGGCGCTCGTGACGCGAATGTTGGACTGCGCCGAGACCCACCTGCGGCACGTGAGATCCACACGGCGACGAGGCAAGCACGTACATGCTAATGTAGCCGGCCCCCGCCGAGCACACTGCACCCAGAAGGAACGAGGCCGCACCAAGGACGCCCAGCATGTAGTTGCCAAGCACTTCGACGCCTGTCGCGTGCGCGCTCGTCGTACGCAGCGCGTAGCTAAAGAAGATCAAGAGCGCCAAGCCGATCGCGATGCGCGAGATGGCGGCATACTGGATGCGCAAGAAGCCTTCAGCGCCTTCGCGGATCGGCGTCGAGACCTCGCGCATCTCGGGCGTGCCGTCGTCCTTGGCCAAGACCCAGTTGCAGAGGTAGATCGAGAAGAGCACACCGTAGCCGCAAAACGTGAGCACGAGCACGAGCGGCCGGAAGGTGCTGGCGAAGGCGAAGAAGAGGAGGCCGACCACCGAGATGGCGATTGCCGGCGTGTTCAAGTCGACCTGCTTGGCGTACGCGGACGCGTGGTTGCCCGAGACCGGCGGTGCCTGGAAGCCAAACTCCATTGCGTCGTGCATTGTCCCGACCAAGATTTATGGCAAATGGGATCCGCGGATCCAGATATACCTCTATAGATGCATGCAATATGTAGTTTGAGAGGTACGTACAACTACGCCATTGGCCAATCGCGGCGCGACCACGTGTCATGCCGGACCGGCCCCCAAATCCGGACTCGTATCCGGATGACGCACCTTGAAGTTGGGCAAAGTGGTCTTGATCTGTGGCACGATGGAATCCAGGTACCGACGAACCCAACGACGTCGTCGGCTTGGCTTCATGCGCCGTGGGACACACCTACCCGAGACGTGGCAGCACTCCTCTCGCATTAGCACCCGTGCGACGTGCGATGAACCGAACCAAGGCTCCTTGGATGCGATCGTCCGGCGTCATCGCAACTTGGGTACGACGCTTAAGCCCTTTCGGAGGCCGCAAGAAAAGGTTGTAGCAACACGACAAGGCGGCTTCACACTTCACATAGCTCTTTTCTCGGACGTTTAGTATCGCGTCTTCTTACATCTTGTACTCTTCCTTGACGATCTTGGCGATCGTCGAGAGCTGCATGTTGCTCGTGCCTTCGTAGATCGAGCCAATCTTGGAGTCGCGGAAGAACTTTTCGACCATGAGGTGCTTGGTGAAGCCAACGCCGCCGAGAAGCTCAATGCACTTGGACGCCGTGCGCTCGGCCACGCGCGACGCGTGGAGCTTGGCCATCGCCGCGTTCTTGACGAACGGCGCGCCCGCGTCCTTCATGCGCGCGGCATTGTACACAAGAAGGCGCGTCGTCTCAATGTCGAGCGCGCACTCAGCGTACTGGTGCTGCATGGCCTGGAAGTCGCCAATCGCCGATCCAAACTGATGGCGGTCAAAGAGGTACGGCATCGTCTGGTCGTACACGCCCTGCGCGAGACCGAGCATTTGCGACGCAATGCCAATGCGGCCTTCGTTGAGCGTGCTGATCGCAATCTTGTAGCCCTTGCCGACCTAGATCATACTGTCAGTGGCCATCGTGGAGGGATGCAATACTATCTACCTCGCCAAGGATCTGGCTCGACGGGACCTTGACGCCGTTTAGGAAGACGGGGCACGTCGACGACGCGCGGATACCGAGCTTGTCTTCCGGCTTGCCGATCTCGAGGCCCTCCATGTCGCGGTCGACGATGAAGCACGTGATCCCCTTGTAGCCGAGGCTCAGGTCGATGTTGGCAAAGACGAGGTACACGCCCGCGTACTCGGCGTTGGAGATCCACATCTTCTGGCCCGTCAACGTGTAGTAGCTGCCGTCGGCCGACTTTTCAGCGCGCGTCTTGAGCGCAAACGCGTCACTGCCCGAGCCCGCTTCCGACAAGCAAAAGCTGCCAATCTAATACACCAACAAGTCAGAGATCGAAGCGACGGCCACAGACGCGTACCATGTTGGAGCAGAGGCGCGGAAGGTACTTCTGCTTCTGCTCCTCCGTGCCAAAGTTCTATGCGTCGCTCGTCAGTCGAGCAGAAGATGATGCAAGACGACGTACGACAAAGACGTTGTTGACCACCGTGTTCTGCAAGTCGCAGAGAAGGCCAACGACCGGGTCGACACGCGAGAGAGCTTCGATCGTCAAGCAGACGTTCATGAAGGACGCGCCCGAGCCACCGTACTCTTCCGGGATCTCAATACCGAGCAGCTACATGTGCATGAGCTCGCCTCCTCGAGGCGCAGCATCTCATACCCCGTTCTCGAAGAGGCCGTTCGTGACTTCGTCGTCCATCTCGCCCTCGGCGTCCATCTTGGCGGCCTTGGGCAAGCAGACGTCGGCGGCGAACTTGGCGACCGCGTCCTTGAACATCTCTTCCTCCTCCGAGAGATACGTCAGCGGCAGGTGCGTCGAGGAGCTCATGGCGCGCATGGCGATGCCCCCGGCGGCGGTCTTGCGGAGCGCGGGCGTCACGGCGCGGACGATGCGTTGCATGCTGGTCTGGCGGAAATGGAGCGAATTCCAAAGTGCCATAACCAGGGGTTATGACGCCATCGTTTCTGATTGGCCAAAAATGCAGGGGTTTCCTTGAAGTAGCGTTTGAAGTTGGGGTGGCGCCACCGGCCCAGCTGGCACGACCGCTGTCGCTTGCCCAAGGGGCAGCGAGCCGAAGGCCTCGGAAGAACGCGACCCGCCAGACTACGCGACTCATTGCTGCATCGGATAACCAGCCATGGACCACCGGCGAGCAATACATGTCGTCTCTTCCGGTAGCGTAGACGGGGCTAGCCCCTGCGACGAGTCGGAGCATGTCCCAAGGTGCCCCTTGCGCACGATTGCCTCGTCGAGGCGATTCGCGTTGGCTGTTGTGGGTCACAGATAGGACTGCGGCGTCCTTGAGGCGGGTGGGTGGGGGCGGGTTGCAGTCGGTGTTGCATACCACATGCCGTGCGCACGCCTGCGCGTGTCCCGCGCGCCTGGACGCATCCTGATTTGACGATGCCGTCTCTGGAAATGTGAGAGAACGATTAGGCTGGATGGTATACACAAGCTGTATCGAGCTGATGGTGTATGAAATGAGTTGAATTTGACAGACAACCAAAGGCAAACAGGAGCCTCGAGCTTCCAAGTTGCCGTTTGGCACCCAAACGAACCTTCGAAAGCAGCCGGTGGACACCGACCTTGATGTCGTCCGATGAGTCAGGATCCTAGTAGGACGCTTCAGAAGGATGCTTCAGAAGGTGGCGCGAACTAGAGCACCCCCAGAGCTGATTGGGATAACCAGCCGAAGCTTCATGTGCTCTAATTCTGAACACAACATCTCAGCGAGGGTGAGAT